TTTAATCATGTAGTATAAACATAAACTTGATTTATATGAAGGGGGGAGAATAATAAATTCATTATTATTTATGATTCAGAATAAGTTTTCAGAATTTATAAAAAAATAAGAAGTTATTCAATTTAAATTGGGTAAAATTGATGGTGAATTCAGATTATTGATCTCACTAGAAATAAGCAATATAAAAAAAATATTAATTGAATATAAATATAGGTAGTAAGGAACTTAGACACTTATGTCAATGTATAAATATACAAAAAGTTTTCTATAAAGTAGCATGTGTTAATTTATGTAAAAAAAAAACAAATTTCACAATAGATCTATAAATTTAAGGACGATAAAAAAACTAAAACAATATTTATAGTTCAAACAAAAATAAACAATGTCTATAAAAATAACATAAATAAACTAAACATAAATATAATAATAATATAAATATATAAAATTCTAAAATGTTTAAATAGATTAATAAAATAATAACGCATAGATTAAAACCTAGTATTATACTCCTCGTTTCATAAAAAGTGTTATTCTATAGTTTTATTTTTGTTTTACAAAGAGTGTTATTTTATATTTTCATGCAAAATTTTACTCCTTCCGTTTAAAATATGTATCATTCTAAATTTTATTTTTATTTCATAAAAAGTGTCACTTTACATTTTCAATGTATATTTTTGAATAAATATCCAATTTTAACCTTTGACTTTTGTTGTTTTAATTAGAAAGAAAATTATTTTGTATGTGAACAAAAGGTAAAACAGAATTTTTAATGATTTTCTTAATTAATATAAAAAATGTCAAATGATACTTATTTTAAAACAGAACAAGTATATAAAAATCCAGTTTTAACTATATTATTTTAGTATATTAATTAAGAAAAATGTTTATCTAGTGTATTAATAAAAGATAAAATATAAATGTTTATAACCGAGGAGCTCTCTCTCTCTCTCTTCTCTCTCATATTTTTCTTTCCGAGAGAGGGCGATTTTTGTTTTTCCGTATGATCGGATATTAATTTCTGGCTAAGTCCAGATTCTCTTCTGTTTATATTTCTTCCGCCAATCGGACTTTTGTTTTGGTAATTCCCTTTTGCATGCTTTTAACAACTTTTTTTAGCAGTGGTAAATTTTGGTCGATGTTGTAAACTCCTCTGTTCTGTCAGATGAAACTTGATTTGATTACTTTCAGAGAAATTTTTTTTTTCTTATTTTAGTTATGTGATTGATTCAATTGGAGTTTTTCTAGTGAAGTATTTGAATAGAGAGTTAGAGAGTTAATTGATGGTTTGGAATCAGATTCTGTAGAGCTGGCGTTTTAATGGTGGTACGGCGAAGTTCTGCGTTCTCTTCTCCAAAGCTTCCCGACGTTTTAATTTCTGACGGTGTGGATATGGATCTTGCAATCTCTCCAGTGATCAAATGCAAAAGGAAAGAGCAGAAGTTTTTGACAGCAGTTTTCTGATCGATGAGGTTTCAGGTGGTGAAAGGTACTGGCGGTGGCCGCTGATGATGGCAGATCGGTAGCTGCAATTGTCATCTCTCTTTCGACACGTGTTCTTGGATTTGTTTATTAGGTAACACGTTCCAGGACACGTGTAGTTAGTTAGTGTTTTGGTCCTGTTGGACTTTAATTTCTTTTGCTTTATAATGGGCTTTTGAGATGTGTTCCCTACTCTATCCTATGTGGGTTAATGAAATCAAATTGACGATAAAGAGTAAAGTGATACTCTTAGTAAAATAAAGGAAATATTAGTGAGTGATCAATTAAAAATGCTATAATATTAATTAGTTATAATAAAACCCATAGCTTACGTTCTTTCTTAATTTCTTAATGGTTAACTGAATCGTTTTTCTGGATAAGCACGAGAACGTCAAATTATCTCTTAAACAGAATTATGTTTCCAAGGATACCTAAAGCCTAAAGGAGTTCTGCTAATGGAAAGAGAAAAATTAATAGCTTTGCTTCGATTGATAAATATTTTTTCTTATTATCGAATTCTAAAATGATAGAACAAAAAAATTACGAAATAATTTATTGTAGAATTGTGAAATATATTTTTTAACACGACTGGATAAAATATGCAGAATGACAGAATATAATTATTTAAAAATATTTTTTTATTATATATCATAAAAATAAAATATTAATAATTCAATTAACTATTATAAAATAATATAATTTTTTTTGTAATTTTCTTATAATTTGTTTTTTAAAATAAAAAAAGTATATAAAAAATTAAAAATATTACAAACCTTATTATTTAAATAATTATATTCTCTGCTTTGTCCTATGTGAATTAATGAAATCAAATTGACGATAAAGAGTAAAGTGGTACTCTTAATAAAATAAAGGAAATATTAGTAAGTGATCAATTAAAAATTCTATAATATTAATTAATTATAATAAAATTTATAGCTTACGTTCTTTCTTAATTTCTTAATGGTTAATTGAACCGTTTTTCTGGATAAGCACGAAAACGTCAAATTATCTCTTAAATAGAATTATGTTTCCACGGGTACCTAAAGTCTAAAGGAGTTCTGCTAATGAAAAGAGAAAAATTAATTGACTCCGATTGATAACATATTTTTTCTTATTATTGAATTCTGGAATAATAGAACAAAAAAATTACGAAATAACTTATTGTAGAGTTGTGAAATATATTTTTTAACACGATTGGATAAAGTATGCAAAATGGTAGAATGACGGAATATAATTATTTGAAAATATTGTTTAATATATATATCTTTTTTTTTTATCGTCATTTTCATTAAAAGTCCAAAAGGGCAACAAACCTATTAAAGGGTAAATCATAAGTACATCTTTTACTAAACCCAATGACATAATCTCTTGCGAAGCCCAATAACATAAGAGAAAATAAAAGAAAACATGAGCTTGACACGTAATGATGCGTGTAACATAATCTCTTGACATGTGTACTGCAAGAGGAGTAAATGCAGCACCACTCATACTACCCGAAACTGTACCATCGCTGGAATTAAAATTCACCAATCTGTAGGAGCTGCTTCATCTGTACTCTGCTCAAATCTTCTGCATGTAATAACCAGTAAAAATAATGAAGATTATTTGCAGTATTAGTAGATTTGCCCCAGGAATTATTGGAGGATTAGAAGCAGAATTTTTCCTGGAACCTTTGCAAGATCTACCAACTCTGCGTCATAAGCATTCAAATAAATCCTTAACAACTCAATTTTACATCTCCAAAGAAACCTTTGCTTTGCAAATTAGCTTAAAAGCAAGGAATTACTCGATAGAGAAGAAACCAAGCAACTAACAAACAAGAACTTTATCAAATTTTCTGGGATCTGAAAATAAAATACACAGAAGAGAAAATCCGAAAAACGAAATTTATTTATCCGACAAATCGGAAGGTAAAATCCGATTAAACGGAAATATAGTACATACTTATATTCAATAGAATATAAACAGCACGGTACCGACGTCAGATGAACGTCGGCCATCGGCCACCGGCCAAAAAGAACTCAAAACCGAGTAAAGAATATAAAAAAGATTGAGAGGATTTAGAGGGAGAAAATAGAGAGAGACAAATCATACCAATTAAGTTTTTCATTTTATTTTTTACTATATATCATAAAAAATAAAATATTAATAATTCAATTAAGTATTATAAAATAATATTATTCTTCTTGTAATTTTCTTATAATTGGTTTTTCAAAATAATAAGTATATAAAAAATTAAAAATATTACAAACCTTATTATTTAGACATAACTTTATTATTAAATAATTTTTTGTAACACAAAATTATTTATTTGTATTTATTTAAAAAATAAAATATAATTAGTTATATAATTGAATAATATAAATATTGATTTTGTAAATAATCTACTTCAAATACACTTTTTTACTTTATGAAGATTTTTTGATATTTTTTGTAAGCAAAAATTCAATTCTACAGATTTTGCATTTTTACGTTTTTTTACATATGTTTTTAATTGATAAAATTCTAGCATTTTTATATTTTCCTACCATTCTACCACTACGCAAAATATGCCAATCATGGATGTATAAATATTTACAGAAGGTTGTATGGTACTAACTGGTTGTAAGCTGTAACGAGGTTGATATATATAGAATTGATTCTAGTCATATAGGAGATTTGTACTCGTTAAAAGTTAAAACCACAACTATTTTATTTCCCTGCTATGTTTTCATTTTCAAATTTTTTTTTTTCATTTACTTCAGATCACAAACGAAAGAATTGCGAGAGACATATCAGAAGTTTATTACGTTTAAACATAACACTAACATGTATTCTCTTCGTTTTATAAAAAAGATTATTTTAGAGTTTTATTTTTGTTTTACAAAGAGTGTCGTTTTAAATTTTTAATGCAAATTTATAACCAAATATCCAGTTTTAATCATGTTACATTAGTGTATTAATCAGAAAGAGAGAGTTGTTTAATGTATTTATAAGAGATATAAAATACTTTTTTATTAAATTTCTTAATTTATATAAAAATATCAAAATAACATTTATTTTAAAATAAAGAAAGTAAATACTAACATAACTGACACTGTTTGAAAAAGAACGAAAACCTTGGAGTACAACTTTTAAAGCTGAAATATGATACTGTGGATTAAAATCCAATCCTTAATATTCATGTTAAATTCCACAAAAAATCATTTGAAATCCATAATACTCTAAAAAAACTAATAATGTCAAGACGTCACACAATACCGAGATACTCTAGTCTTGCTCCTGTTTGTGTCTTACAATAAAAGCTAGGATAACGTACTGATCACCTGAAGTAACTCAACAAAAGCCAGTTGTCAGTGTACCACAAAATCCTGTTAAGAATTTAGTACGTGGCAGTCTGAACTTTTACGTGTTAGCTTCAGAGACATCAAGAGAGCTCGAATTCAAAGCCTCGAAGTGCCAACAAGCTAAAAGTTGTCTGATAGTGATGTGCCTCCGCCACCACATGGTGTTTTTTCTTCTATTTTTAACTTTTTCTTTGAATGCATCGTAACATATATCTTCAATTAATTGCTTGTTGCTTACGTAAGCCGGTGCTACTATAAATAACAAAAAATGTTGCATACTCAATCGCATCATAGTAAAGATGAATACAAAGACGTTTATAGTATGGTTTCTTTTAATAGCGGCCGTTATTGTGGCCGTCACAGCAGACAGTTCTGTGGACAACAAGAAGGAAGGTGTGAAATATTCTTTGTTTCTTTATGATTTATTCACCTGGCATAGTTCTTACGTTAGAGGAAGTTTGAATCAGGTGCAAAGCAAGTGGAGATACCAAACGTGGAACCCAAAGGAGATGCTGCGGTTGAGGCCCCCGTTGAAGAAGAGAAAGATAGCAATTATGAAGTTGATAATCGAGGCGGCGGAGGATGGAAGGGAGGCGGTGGCCAAGGTGGAGGATGGAAGGGTGGCGGTGGCCGAGGAGGAGGTGGAGGATGGAAGGGTGGCGGTGGCCGAGGAGGAGGTGGTGGATGGAAGGGAGGCGGTGGCCGAGGAGGTGGTGGCGGAGGTGGGGCTGAGTTAGCTCCCGAAGAGATAAATGATGTCTCAGATGATGTACAAAATTATGGAGGCGGTGGTGGAGGATGGAAAGGAGGCGGTGGTGGAGGCGGAGGATGGAAAGGAGGCGGTGGTGGAGGAGGAGGATGGAAAGGAGGCGGTGGTCGAGGAGGAGGAGGATGGAAAGGAGGCGGTGGTCGAGGAGGAGGAGGATGGAAAGGAGGCGGTGGTCGAGGAGGAGGAGGATGGAAAGGAGGCGGTGGTCGAGGAGGAGGAGGAGGTTGGGGAGGCGGTGGTTGGCAAGGTGGCGGAGTGTAAAATGCGTCTCTACTAACAAATAGTACCGAGTAGATATGCAAGTGAATGCAAAAGCGAAAACTACAATAAATAACGTTAAATGTACGGTTTGCCGAGCATTATGCTACCGTACATAATGATACGTACGTTTAAATGATACGTAAAAGTTTAAATGTTACGTAAGTTATATCTTCTCTTCGCGTCTGCTATGATGAATACATCATTAGCGGTTCAATATAACTCACCTACCTTGCATATCCTTGCTTTAGACACGGTTGTGAAGTGTATGAACATAGAGGTTTTAACGAGTACGTTCAACTTTATGCCTGAGACTGTATTTAAGCTTTTACAACCGATTCATACTATGTTAGATTTATATATGACACACAACAAACACATACACACAATGCTTCTGGGTATTGTTACGTGTTGACATTATTAAAAGATTGACAAAGATATATAAAAATGGGACATGGGTGCAAGTAATTTTCTTTTTTGTGTGTGTGAAGCGATGCTAACTTACCAATTATATAAGTGAATCTATTATTATACCCGTTTTTTTTTTCATCTATTAAATATTAAAACATACAAGCTGAAAAACAAATTAGAATATAAAGATAGGATTTTAAGCCGAGAGAATAACAAAATGTGGGAAAGTACAACACCTCAATCCTGTGTTTTGGATTAATGAGATTACTAGTCCATGCGCAGGTTTTGAATAATATCAGATAGTTCAGTTAAATAGTTCGAGTAGCATTCTTTGACACAAAAACTGTGTAAACATGTATCTAAAATCTGCTGTCTCACATATGAACCAATAAACATAGTTTGGTGTATTACATTATTCATAATATCTTCATATTGTTTATTGATGTACCACCATCTCAGTACACAAATAACTTCTTTATCACGGTTTTGAGACCATTGCAAAGCAAACTCTTCAGTTACTTGTCTCATCGCACAACATTCAATTACACGTTTTCTATAGAAAAAGACGTTATAGAATAGCAATGAATCGATAATATGATGTGAAAATAAATAATAATCTTACTCGTCATCTTGGAGATTAAAAGGGATCATAGTGTAATCATTTTATATTTTACTCTCATCAAAAATCTCTAACTCACCGACGTTTTTAAGAACACTAATTAAATCTAACAAACAACAACACAAAATAACGAAATTCTTATTGTCTTTCTTGTTGATTCAACACAAAAATTAATACCATTCATTGCATAAATAATTTACCGATAGTATAAGTGACATCTATTCGACTTCTAATAACATCCCCAAAATCAACCAATGTCAACAATAAACCATCTTCGGGACCATGCATAGAAATAAATCTAGTGTTTGTAACAAACTTCAGCTTGAAAGGATGTCTTTCTATACGAATGAAAGCATTAAAAGTTTTAACTACAAAACCGCTTAAGAATTTCCACTTTCCTTCGATAAGCTCGTCTTCAAACAAATGAAGGTATTTGTTTCCAATTGAAGCTTGTATCATCGACCCCTATAAACACTATAGTCATTACAACTGGACACAAATACATCTTAGGAGACGGGAAATGAATTTAAAGCAAGGATGAGTGAACTTACATGCATGTCAACGAAGATCATCTTTAATTTAGGCCGACGATTCCGTTCCTTGGCATGCCATTTCTTCAGCAGTTTAATTTCAACAGAGGGATCCACAACACAAGGGTCTATCTCAGAGACTTTTAAGAACGTCCGCATCGTAGCAGAAATGCCAAAACGATCAAATTCTAAACTAAAAAACACTTGTTATATGAAATAAGAAGCATAGAGTGTATCGACTATTACAATATTAATATTTAGATTTCTTGTTTGTAGTGTCGATGCTGATTAACTATCTTTATCGGCAAACAGTTTCCTATTAATTTATTTTGAAAGAATAAAAGTCAGTTCTGTTTTATGTATAAAATACAAAAAAACCAAGATAGAATAATTAGTTCATAAATATAAATAGAATAATAAACGTGCAACACTACCAAAACCGAGACTAAGAACCAAACCAAAACGATGAAAATCCATAACCAAAACAAATCCAGAACCAAAAACAATCTCAGACCAAGTTCAATGTGCTGAACAAAAATCAAAAATCAAGATGTTCTCAAACACTTTCTTGTAGACAACGTTAAGAGTACGTTTCTTTGGTTTCCCAGCCTCGTCAGTTATTAAGATCTTCAAACCGGAACGTGATGTTACTCTGGAGACAACAACGTATAGCTGACCATAGGAAAACACAGGTCTTGGCAAAAAAATACCAACTTTTTATAAAGTCTGATCCTGACTCTTATTTATAGTCATCGCAAAAGCAACAGCAACAGGAAACTGTCGACAGACGCATCCTGAATGGAAATCTAATCTCAGGTGGCGAAACAAACATCTTTGGAATCAATACTTTATGTCCAACCCTGTCCCCTGTGATAAGTTTAGCTTCAATCACATGCGCCGCGAGCTGCGTTACAAGTAACTTCGTTCCGTTGCACAGACCACCCCGATGATCGATATTCCTTAGCAACATAATAGGAGTCCCTATCTTCAGCTTTAGATCATGATTGGGCAAACCAGAAACTTTTATGCTATTTAGATATTCTTGGGTGTAAACCATATCGTCATTTTTACTTGTCTCCGACGTATCAATACTATCTGAACTAAGGTACGAATGTTACTCGCCTATAACAAAAATAAAAAACAAAATTAATCGAAAGCACCATAACTAAACCAAACTATATATGAAACAGTAAATGTTACCTATTATGCGAGATAACATATACTCGTTTATAACATCGACGTCAGAATTCTTTGGACTCAGAATAGCCCGCCCCTGAAAAAAAAACGAATCTCGCTCTCTTGCATACGAATGGCCATACATTTCTTGGACAATTTTCTCCATAGGATCTCCACTCCTAGTTATCAGAAAATCATCTGGTATATCTATCTCAACCTCTCCAGTGTTAGGCTCATTGATCTTTCCGTCACCTATAGCAAGTATCCATTTTGAAAAAGACTCCAGTTCTTGGGCATTATTTGCATCAACACCACGAAGAAGACGCATAGTCATGGTAAGTTTCAAGACTGTACAACTGCTCCACAACACTGAAGAGTTCAGAGATGACATGACGGGTTTCAGCTCGATTACCACCAACAATCACAGGTAATATCTGTCTAAAATCTCCACCGAACACAACAACTTTACCACCAAACACTTTATCGTATTTCAGAATATCCCTCATTGTTCTATCCAACGTCTCAAAACAATGTTTGCTCATTATCGGCGCCTCATCCCAAATAATCAGTTTGGCTTCCTTGATCAATTCCGCCTGATGTGATCCTGCAGCAATTGATCATGTTGTAAACTCGTTAAGAGCGATTGAAACGCCAAACCTAGAATGAGCGGTCCTTCCTCCTTGGAGAAACAAAGAAGCAATCCCACTTGATGCCACATTTAGGATGATGTCACCTCTAGAGCGAATATCAGATCCCAATACACTCCACAAAAACGTTTTGCCAGTACCACCAAAACAGCAAACAAAAAACATACCACCCTCGTCATGATTAACAGCGTGTATAATCTTGTCGTAAACCCGTTTTTGTTCATATGTTATGGTTACCAGTAATCTCGTATGCTCGGCCTTGAGCTGATCTCTATTATAACTGCGCTCGTCCATTAAAAGATGATTAATAGTCTTATCCATGTCATCGTCCACAGCATGAGGCATCTTATCGTAGTTGGTCAACGAATTTTCATTTCGACGAAGGCATTTCTCTATTTTAGAAAGTGCACAGCTCTTCAACTCATCATCGGTCATAGTGAAATCTACACAGTATGAAACAAATATTAGCCTATATTCACTAAACCAGCATTACAACGATATATGTAAAACAAAGAAACGATTTACTTGTGTTATCCAATTTTTTCTTGAGCATATATAATATATCATCGCTCAGGATCTGCCATGTCTTGTTTCACACGTTAACAGGCTCGGAAATGCTATTAGGCAGCAACATACTAGAAAATAGTACATAATAGCAAATAGTCTACGTAAATATTTCCCTGAGCCCCAAAAACTCGCTTCTTCGATAGCGGAATTATACTCTTTATCATCATCCAACAATCCCAAGGCGTAGCAAGCTTCTTTGTACGAATCATAAACAACACCTTTGACTGTTCGTATATCCTCATAACTCTTCAGACATTTAACAATGTTCAGCAAAACACACATGTAGTAACACTGAACATAATTGGGAGGAACATACGTAACTCTTCCAATGGCAAAGCCTCGTTCGCGTAGCTTCCACTCCCTAGTCCTCTGTACCCAAACGAACTTTGTCGGGAAATCAGCATATGTCAACTCTCTTCTGCCTCCGAGAATTTACTATTTGCTTCCATCCAAGCCATAAACTTAGACCGAGTCACAGACGCACGGTTTATAACATCGTCTATAGAATCATCTTCGTTATAAACAACCATTTGCTGCCCCAGTAAGTGGAAAGTGAGATTAACAACAGTCGTCGAACGAAAATGAGTTGGGAAAGCTAATATTCTCCAAGTTGCCTCGCATGCTGAGATATATCTGAAAAATAAGAAAAAATCTCAATAACATATCACATGCACAGCGATATTGTCTAAATTCCATTCGGTAATCAAACAATAAAATCACGTAATTAATACAGACAAACCTGCAGTTGAGAAACTTTTTAACTTCATTATCAATAGTATCATCTTGTTCAACAGAAGCACCAACATAGTCAGGACCCTTGGTAATATACTTGAATAGATACTTGATTGACCTCGTTTGATTGCACCACTCAACATTTATATGGGCTCGGAAACGACTCAGAAGGTCCTTGTTGTACGGAACCACATATCTATTGTCACAATCAAATCCCTTCTTGCGGATAGTTCTATCATTACTTCCACGCTTGTAAATAGGGAAGCCACCATCATCAATTTTTGTTATCGCGCTACAAGGTTTGGGATAAAACTTGGTACATTTACCTTGATTCATGCACACATTAGTTTATTGACCTCACCACATGGACCATATATCATTAAGTCACCAACAACCTCGTATAAATACGGTCCAAGTCTTTATCAGGTATCTCAGCAGAAATAAACTTATCGATATCATCCCCAGTTAGTAGTTTTGAATCTGGATGCAGAAACAGCACCATATGGGCATGGGGTAAACCTTTTTTTTTAAACTCAATGGTATACATTGCTACAAATCAACAAAAATAATAACAGTATAAATACATCGAGTTAAGTATCTACCAATATTTAATATGAGAGTCTAGGCTAGAATT